GGGCACATGTTTGCCTTACGCCAAAACATTTAGCCGACCTGTATAAAGAATCTCAAAAGAGAAAAGAGAAAGAAGATGAAACAAACTTCATCTCTGATGAACCCGAGACATCCTTTCATGGTTTAAATGATGATACTCATCTCGACGTATCAGACTTTCTGGTTGAACCATAGAGTATCGATGAGTAATATAAAATCGATGTGATATAAGTTTATTGTATTATAGTATCTATATCTTTTGTTGTAAGATATACATTATGTTTCTTGTTTAATAATGCGTGTTTTATGTTATGTGATATAAGTTTAATATTACATGTTTTCAGAAAGAATGCTAAACTTTGAGACTATGGATGGAGATATGTGTTTGGCAGATAGTCCTACGACGCACACGATAATCAAAGATAAGAAATATTTCTCCAGTCTCAAAATAAAAGATTACGCTGGAAGCGTAAGTACAATATCTGGTAATGCAAAGATTATAATGGGCTCTGGAAGAGTGAAATTTTCAATGCCAAAGGGGACGATATTTGAAATAAGTAATGCATTATACTCCCCCGAGTCTAATAGAAACTTGTTAAGTTTCAAGGATATCCGAAGAAATGGATACCATATTGAGACTATGTGTAAAGATGGCATTGAATTTCTTTGCATTAAGTCCGAGGGGAAACATATATTAGAAGAGTTAAAAATGTTATCCTCTGGACTATATTGTACAAGAATACACATGACTGCGTCCTATGCCGTGGTAAACATGAAGTTTTCTGATACATTTAAAATCTGGCATGAGAGGTTAGGACATCCTGTTTCAGTCATGATGAGAAAAATAGTGCAAAATTCAAATGGCCATCCATTGAAAACGGAAGAATTTTGCGGACGGACGAATTTACATGTAAAGCATGTTCTCAAGGAAAATTTATCACTCGGCCATCACCAGCAAAAGTAGGCAGTGAATCACCAATGTTTTTAGAAAAAATACAGGGTGATATATGTGGGCCGATCCACCCACCGTGCGGACCGTTTAAGTATTTCATGGTATTGATTAACGCATCTAGTAGATGGTCAAATGTGTCTCTTTTGACGACACGAAATACGGCTTTCGCAAAGTTCATTGCCCAAATAATAAGGCTGAGAACACAGTTCTCAGGATATGCCATTAAGAAAGTAAGGCTTGATAATGCTGGTGAGTTTACATCGCAAGCCTTTAATGATTATTGTATGTCAGTGGGGATTGATGTGGAACATCCAGTGCCCCATGTTCATACACATAATGGCATGGCCGAGTCATTAATTAAATGGTTGCAGTTGATTGCAAGGCCGTTGATCTTGAGGACAAAGCTCCCAATTTCAGTATGGGGTCATGCTATTTTGCATGTGGATGCACTAATTCGGTTAAGACCGAGTGCATATCATAAGTACTCTCCATTACAATTGGCGTCTGGGCATGAGCCAGATGTATCCCATCTCCGTGTCTTTGGGTGTGCGGTCTATGTTCCAATAGCTCCACCACAAAGGACAAAAATGGGCCCACAGAGGAGATTGGGAGTATATGTGGGTTATGTGTCACCAAGTATAATAAGATATCTGGAACCAGTAACTGGTGATATGTTTACTGCACGATTTTTCGATTGCCATTTTAATGAAGAAGAATTTCCAGCGTTAGGGGGAGGAATTAAAGAAATTCCTAAAGAGATTACTTGGTGTACACCATCGTTGTTACACCTTGATCCCCCTACGAATCAAAGAGAGCTGGAAGTTCAGAAAATTGTGCATTTGCATAATTTGGCAAACCAGTTACCAGATGCGTTCACAGATACGAGAAGGGTGACGAAATCATATATACCCGCTGAAAATGTCCCATCAAGAGTTATTGTTCCTAAAGAACACACTGATGGAGATACAATGAATGAGCCTAGGGCTCAGTTAAGGAGGGGGAGACCTGTGGGTTCTAAAGATAAAAATCCACGAAAGAAAAAGAAATTGATTGAGAAAAAAGAGACGGTTCTAGAAGAACCTGATACTGAAAAATGTCTGAAAGAATGCATAAATGAAAAGGTTCAAGAAGAACCAAATAAAGATAAGGATCCACATGACGAGGAGGGAACAGAAAGGCATGAGATTTCCATCAACTACGCCCAAGATGAAAAGTTATGGATGAGAAATAAGATAAAAGATGTTGATGGAATATTCTCCTTTTCTGTGTCCAAAGAAATAGATCACGAAAGTGATGATCCTGATCCAAGGTCCATTTTAGAATGTATGAAAAGACATGATTGGGAGGAGTGAAAGAAGGCCATTGAAATTGAATTACTCTCCCTAAATAAAAGGAAGTCTTTGGACCTATTGTCAAAACGCCTGAGAATATAAATCTTGTTGGGTATAAATGGGTATTCGTGAGAAAAGTAAATGAAAAGAATGAAGCAACACAATATAAAGCCCGATTAGTAGTCCAAGGTTTTTCTCAGAGACCAGGAATTGATTAGTAGCCCGATTACCGGAAACGTATTCTCCGGTAATGGATGCAATTACGTTTAGATTTTTAATGAGCCTTACGGCGTCAAAGAATCTTGAAATGCATCTTATGGACGTTGTGACTGCATACTTGTATGGATCATTGGATAATGATATATACATGAAACTCCCTGAAGGATTAAAAATGCCAGAAGCATTGAAAGAGAAACCCAGGGAGATCTGTTCGGTCAAGCTACAGCGATCACTTTACGGATTAAAGCAGCCCGGTCGCATGTGGTACAATCGCTTAAGTGAATATCTCTTGAGAAAAGGATATGTGAATAATGCGATATGTCCATGCGTTTTTATAAAGAAATCGTCATCTGGCTTTGTGATCATTGCTGTATATGTTGATGACCTGAACATTATTGGAACTCAAAAGGAAGTTGATGATGCACGAACTCATATGAAAGAAGAGTTCGANCCGGTCGCATGTGGTACAATCGCTTAAGTGAATATCTCTTGAGAAAAGGATATGTGAATAATGCGATATGTCCATGCGTTTTTATAAAGAAATCGTCATCTGGCTTTGTGATCATTGCTGTATATGTTGATGACCTGAACATTATTGGAACTCAAAAGGAAGTTGATGATGCACGAACTCATATGAAAGAAGAGTTCGAAATGAAAGATCTCGGAAAGACAAAGTTTTGTCTTGGGCTCCAGATTGAGCATCTCCGAGAAGGTATATTTGTGCATCAATCAAATTATACGAAAAGGTTATTGAAACGCTTTCGTATGGACAAAGCAACTCTTTTGAGTACTCCAATGGTTGGTAGGACTCTCGATGTTGAGAGAGATCCTTTTAGACCCTGTGAAGATAGCGAAAAAATCGTTAGGTCCAGAATTACCTTACATGAGTGCTATCGGTGGGTTATTGTATCTAGCGAACTGTACTAGACCTGATATTGCATTTGCCACTAATCTTCTTGCAAGATATAGTTCGGCTCCTACTCATAGACATTGGAACGGAATTAAACACATATTCCGTTACCTTCAAGGTACGGTTGACCTAGGTTTAATGTATTTTAGAAAACCCGAGTTTGGTATGGTTGGTTTTGCAGATGCAGGATACTTATCAGATCCTCATAAAGCTCGTTCGCAAACCGGCTATGTTTTCACAATTGGTGGGACAGTGATCTCTTGGCGTTGACAGAAGCAAACTCTGGTTGCAACATCTTCGAATTATGCAGAAACCATTGCACTTCACGAAGCCTGTCGAGAATGTGTGTGGCTTAGATCAATGAGTTACCACATACAAGAAGCAAGTGGAATAATTGGTAAGAAAGAGCCGACGAAAATGTTCGAAGACAATTTGGCGTGTGTTACTCAACTTAAAGAAGGCTATATCAAGAGCGACAGAACAAAGCACATGCCTCCAAGATTTTTCTCGTACATACGACAGCTCGGGAAAAATAAAGAAGTGGACATAGAATATGTACGGTCATGCGACAATCCCGCAGATTTGTTTACAAAGACCCTTCCTACTACGACGTTCCGAAAACACGTCTATGGTATCGGAATTCGACATTTGCGTGATCTATGAAGAAAAAGCTATGTATATTATGTTCAGGGGGAGATTACGTCAGTGTACTCTTTTTCTTTTTTCATGGTTTTTAGCCCAACGGGTTTTTCCATGACTAAGGTTTTAACGAGGCACTACGTAATACAAAATGGATAATCAAGGGGGAGTGTTAAATATCAGATAATGCTTATCCATTTTGAGATATTTATTAGAATATTATTTACTTCATATGAGGAAGTAAAAACTGACCGACTCACCTCCCTATATAATGATCAGTTCACGATCATTTTTTAAAGTGTAGAAGTGAATAAAAACTTCAACATCTCACTACTCTATCTCTCTTTGTCTCATTACTCTTATGCATATAATTTAATCTAAGTTATATCAATATAACTTCACTTTTTATTATACAACAAGTGTCAAGTAAATGCTAGAAAAAACAATATTAAAAAAAAACTATATAAATCAAGAAAATGTCAGACTGTAAGCGGTTGGGCCTCTTTTGTTCAAAAAGGCTATATTTTCTTCTTAATCTGTTGGGCCTTATGTTTTTTTTTAACCACACTGTTGGGCCTTGTGTTATACTTTAAAAATAGGCAATTTGTTGGTGAGGATTAGTTAACTAATAACTCCATTAATAATGTGTAGATGGTTTAGTTTCTTTATGTCAATTTGAGCTTTTACATATTGAATTTCCGAATTGGATGATCAAGTCTAAACAATTATTTTCACTCTTTCTATACGTCTTTTACATAATTGCTGAAAACTTCTTACTTCCTTGCAATATATTTCCGCGAACAAGAAAACAATAATTTGATCAAGTCATGTGCAATTTTTTTGTCATTTTGTCTTAAAAAAGGTCTTATTTGCAAATGACCTCAACGCTATCCAGTAGAGAGATACATTACCAAAAGTAATCACTCTCATCACCAAATCCAACATCGTCAAAACGACATCGTCTCCCTTCTTACAGAAGATATTTCCAACGACCAATAAAAAAAAAAGTCTCCTCACGGAAAATCAAAAAAAGCCTTTCGTGAACCCAAAAATGTCACGTCTCCCGATCCTAATCGCTGCCTTCCTCTTCCTCCACCTCGTCGCCACCACCGCCGCCGAATCAGACTCTCCGACGGCGTACTCTCTCCTCCAAAGCTACAACTTCCCCGTCGGAATCCTCCCAAAAGGAGTCGTCGCTTACGATCTCGACACGTCGACAGGCAAATTCCACGCCTACTTCAACGGCTCCTGCAGCTTCTCCCTCGTGGGTTCTTACCAATTGAACTACAAATCGACGATCAGCGGCTACATCTCCGAGAACAAGCTCACGAAGCTGAGTGGTATCAAGGTGAAAGTTCTCTTCTTGTGGCTCAACATCGTCGAGGTTGTTAGGAAAGGAGAGGAGATGGCGTTTTCCGTTGGGATCACGTCGGCGAATTTCGAGATCGAGGAGTTTTTGGAGTCTCCTCAGTGTGGGTGTGGGTTTGAGTGTGAGGATTTGAGTTCCGACAAGTTTGTTAGAAGCTTCCCTTTTGTCTCTTCCTCATGAAAATTGTCTTTGATGAGTGTGATCTTCTGAGAAGATTGAATCTTTAGCTGTCTGAATAATGATATGTTCTTGTCATTTGGATGAGGAATCCTATCAAGATTATGTTATTGTTTCAATCAATCTGGTTATGTTAGAATCTATCAAGTTTATGTTATTGTTTAAATCAATCTGGTGGAAAGATGATTTTTTTTGTGTAGATGTTTTGAGATAGTTAGTTTGGTTTGGGGATGAATAAGGAGATGGTTCTTCAGAGACACCATTGAGTTATTTGCATCAGTGTTGTGTTTTGCTTTATTCGATTGAGATTGGAGATACTTCTACATGGTGTAGTAGTAGTAGTAGTAGTAGGGAAAATATTTAAGGTCCTCTCTCAGTAACCAGGAAAAGTTAGACAAGAGGCTTATATGTTATAGTCTCTGTGGTTTGTACTAATGTGGCCGTTATATCATAAATCGAGTTCAGAGCCGAGAATGGCCGTTAAGTCACATAACTCATGACGAGCTAATTTAAATTGAAAGAAAACATTTTGTATACACTAACTGGAGGGATTACATGTTAAATTGATGGTCTTACTTATACATAAGAATTGTCAAAGGGTTATGGAGGTTTTACTGTTTTAGGTACTTTTCTTGTTCTTTTTTGAAAATATTACACCTAGGGTAGTTTTCAAGTTATTATTATCAGAATGGGACACTTTACACTACTACAACACTTATTTCTAACAGTTTTTTGTTCCCAATTAGTTTAGGAAAGTTTAGTTATAGTCCAACTATTTCGTTGATTAAGAAAAGGCAGAGGAATCACCTTATTAGCGGGAACAATTCCCAGCCACACATCTCATCCTCTTATCGATGGCCCAGAATAAACCAGTACACTATGACAAGACTAATATCTGCCACCCTTCCACACCGTTGGATCTTCCTTCTTCTTTTTTCTGGACGGTCCAGATTATCATGAAACAAAACTAAACTTCATCTTCTCTGTTTTTCACTTCGACAGAGACAAAAAAGAAGAGATTAACTTTGAACCTAATAATCTTACTAATCTCCTGAGATCAACAATACATTCATCATCGGACCCTAAATCCAGGTTAGTCCCATCTCAAGTCTACATTTCAGCTAATTTCTATGTTTCATTTTTGTTTACAACGAACCTAACGTCTGCATTTTTGTTCCACGAGCTCAGCCATGGAAGATCATTGTATGGTCATTTCGGACGAATGGAACTCCAGTGATTCTCTGTGGAAGTTTGCTATAGATCAGAAGAGAATGTTTAGGATTGTCTCTGTCCACCGGGAAATGTCGTTGCTTGACTTACAAAACAATGTCGTCAAGGAGTTCTTCACCTTCACTGACCCACCACCACCTGCAGTTTTGAGCTATTGGCCACCTAATACGAAAGAACTCGCCACTGGTCTCACAACACCCCCGGTGATTCTCTCAAACGACGGAGCTGTCTCATTCCTTTTTCAACATTTTGCAGCCCACCGATCCATGAATTTATTCGTCACCTTCGAGACGATAGGAGACAGACAGCAAACGAGTCAAGTCGAAGAGAATCCTTTACTATTCACAACACCAAACCAAACTATGAAGCACAACCTCAATCATTTTCGCCCCTCTTCGACAACCTCATCTAAGATCCCCTCCTTTTCTCTGTTTGATGAAGATGAGCTGCGTGAAGAACTTCCCACAAACCTGCCAAAGTCGACCACAACCCCCATATACTCTGCTGGGACGAGTACACCTACTTCTGTTCCTTCAAAGGTACAACGTGTTTCCATAAACGAAGAAACTCTTTTCTGTGGAGATGAAATGCTAGAACAAATGTTCAACGAAGACCCCGACACCATCCCAGACGACTGGATAATCGATGATGAGGACGAGCTGGTTTCCGAAAGTTCCCAACCTGCAGACATTGAGTATGTTCCTCTTCGTGGATACGACAAAGATTTTTGGGGGCCTCTCCTTGACGACACACTTGGCGGGTCCGATGCAGCTGATATCATGGCTGGTGTTCATGTACCTAAAACTGCCCCTCCCGTTGTCCACTGCACCACCGGTGATGCTTTCGATCACACAGTCCGGACGTCTGGTGAGGATTCAACTGAGTGGAAGAAAGACCTGGAATATCTCGGTGTACACCAACGACCTGCTTCTCGTGTACACGACCCGTCGGTATCCACGCGTACACACAGTTGCGACTCATCCACCTGTACACATGGATCAGCGTACACGAGCGACACTCAGCAACCTCCACCTACACCACCCCCACCAGCGCGCGAGACAAGGCCACTTTCTGAGATAAGCGACGAGGAATTCGACTTACCTCCTCTGTTTGACGATACCGCATACCAAGCTGAAGTTGTTCCAGACCTCAATTGGGAGGAATCAGAAACTGAACCTGTGGTTGGGAAGCTATACGCCAACAAACAGGACTGCCAAATCAGCTTAGCTATATATGCTATCAAGGAACGCTTCCACTTCAGACAAACGAGGACGACAAGGCATTCTTTTGTTCTTAGTTGCCATGATACCCGTTGTGATTGGCGCATCCTAGCAAAAGAACTGACCAGTTGTGGGTACTACACCATCAGGAAGGCACAACTCACACACACCTGCCCATTTGAGTCGCGCAATGACTACAAAAAAAGGGCGACATCAAAAGTAATCGCCCATGCCTATCGTTCTCGGTATGGGGATCCGAACCAGAGTCCTAAAGCAGCTCAGCTGCAGCAGCTTGTACTTGAGGATCTGCGCGTCTGCGCTTCTTACATGAAATGCCACAGGGCCAAATCTCAAGCCCTTGACCTCACCGTTGGCAAACCAAAGGACTCATACCTCAGCCTAGCCTATTACTTTGAGAGGCTCAAAGCCACAAACCTCGGTACACAAACTGCCATAGAGACTGAATTAGATGATTTTGGTGAATCTCGTTTTCTCTACGCCTTTCTTTCTTTTGGTGCTTCAATACAGGGTTTCCGGCGTGTGCGTCATGTCCTTATTATTGATGGCACACATCTTTCTGGAAAGTACAAAGGGGTACTCCTAACCGCCAGCGGGCAAGACGGTAACTTCCAAGTCTTTCCTCTTGCTTTTGCAGTTGTAGACGGGGAGACCGACAACACATGGCTTTGGTTTCTGACTAAGGTTGAGAGGATTATTGCGGACTCCAATACCCTCTCCATTATTTCTGTCCGCGCAGCCTCTATTGTTAAAGCCATAAAAATCATCTTCTCCAAGGCTAACCATGGTGCATGTATCGTGCATATAATGCGCAATGTTGTCTCCCGGTTCAAGAGTAAAGGGCTGGCGAAAATGGTGTGTGCTGCTGCGTTCTCCTACAAACGTAGAGACTTTGATGACAACTTTGGTAAAATAAGGCAAGCTAATGCTGCCTGTGCAAAATACCTTGAAGACATTGGGACCTCCAGATGGTCTAGGACTTACTTCCCAGGAAAGCGCTAGAACCTCTTGACCAGCAACGTCGCGGAGCAACTCAACAACGCCTTATCCAAATCCCGTGATTCACCAATCGTCGAGTTGTTCATGTTTATCCAGCGCATGTTAACTCGGTGGTTTTCTGCTAGAAGAACCAAGTCCGCCAAACACAGGGGTTCTGTCACCCCCGAGGTTGATGCTGTTATGCAGACACACATTAAACTCACCAAAGGTACTAAAATCAACAACATCACTGAGTGGCAGTTCCAGGTGAAAGGTATTTTCGGCCATGGCAACACTGTTTACCTTGACAACAAAGTGTGCACTTGCCAAGTTTTTCAGAAACTTAAAATCCCCTGCGGACATGCGATGTTGGCAGCTGACTCAATTGGGTACCCTTATGTCCAGCTGGTTGGAGACTACTACAAAACTCAGGCATGGATTGAAACCTACTCTGCTGTCATATACCCTGAAACACCATGGGGAGAACTCACCATACCTCCAGCAATAGCTACTCTAACTTTATATCCTCCCTATACTCGTCGTCCATCTGGGCGTCCAAAGGACAAGCGCATCCCGTCCACTGGAGAAATTCAGGTAACAACAAACAACCCCTATCCTTCAATAATTATTGAATCCCCCACGCTCCAAAGTATTCATTTTTTTGTCAATTATCCAAGGTACCTAAGAAGACAAAAGTCAACAAATGCGGTCGTTGTGGTGTCTCGGGACACAACAGGACCAACTGCGTTGCCCCCATCTGAGGTGTTCGGTGAATCCTATATCCACGGGAATCTACCTTTGGATAGCGCCTTCACCCTATAACAACCACTTTTGATTTTGAATCCTTTTTTGTTGTATCTTCATGTTAAAACTCATATAAACATGTAATGGCTGTGAAGCAGGGGATTATTTTGTTTGCTATCCTATCTAAAAATATGGGTATTCAGAAACCAGGTCTGCATGTTATCAGACAACCCCCGTTTTTTAAGTACTCCATCGCTCGGTATCCACATGGATACCAACTTGTTGTGTACACTCCTGTCTTGCACACGCCCTTTTACACTACCGTCAAGAGTGTTCACTACAATTTCCAAGGTCTTGTACACAATCCCTAATAGTCAGTGCACCACTTTGCAGCCACGTGAAGTTGGATATGGCGTACACAGCAAAGTGTACACTGGGTGTGCAGTGGATATGGTGTACACAACGACGGGTACACTGGGTGTACACATGGATATGGTGTACACAGGTGAGTCTACACTCAGTGTACACATTGATAGGAGGATGTGCACACGATTGCTAAGGGGGGGGGGGGGAGTGTGCAACGGTGTGTACCCAAACGACCAATATCCCCAACACAAACCCTTTTTAGTGGTGTGGTTGTGGGATATTGCCCGGTCTTGTGTACAACCACATGGATACCAACTGGGTGTCGACTCGTTTGGGAACGTTTTTCTCCATGCTTACCAAGGGTAGGTCCACGATAGGTAAGCGTAGACTACCTAATACTCAGTGCACCACCTTGCATCCACGTGAAGTTGGATATGGCGTACACAGCGAAGTGTACATTGGGTGTGCATTGGTTAGGGTGTACACAACGACGTGTACACTAAGTGTACACATGGGACATGGTGTACACATTGGAGTGTATACTCAGTGTACACATGGATAGGAGGCTGTACACACGATTGCCAAGGGGGGTAGCGTGCAACGGTGTGTACCCAACCGACCAATATCCTCAAAACAAAACCTTTTTAGTGGTGTGGTCGTGGGATACTGCCCGGTCTTGTGTATACCAACTGGGTATAAATCAGTCTTGTGTATACCCAACCACACGGATACCAACTGGGTCTCGACTCGTTTGGGAATGTTTGTTTCCATGCTTACAAAGGATTATAGTTATTAGTCGTTCTTGCAGACAGTAAAGTTTGATTGTGTGCACGTGGATGCGTACTAGTGTACAGTCTATTAAGTATTCTGTACAACCACACGGATACCAACTGCTTGTGTACACTCCTGTGCAAGTTTGGTACTGTACATTGTAGATGGTGTCCACAGGGAAGTGTACAAGGGTGTACACATGGATAGGAGGATGTGTACACGTATGACAAGGGGGGGGGAGTGCGCAACTATGTCTACCCAACCGACCAATATCCACTTGGTGTGTATCTGGGATATTGCCCGGTCCTTACAAGGTGTGTGGACTCGTTTGGGATATTGCCCTGTCTTGGACACTCCCTTTTACATTACCGTTAAGAGTGTTCAATACAATTTACAAGGGCTTGTACACAATCCCTAATACTCAGTGCACCACTTTGCATCCACGTTAAGTACACTACGCTGTGCACTGATACACTAAAATTGGATCTTTGTCTACTGTCAAGTTAACAGTGTAGTTGTAATAAATTTAGATTCAATTCCAGAGGACCAGCCTACACTTTATCTTTATGGGATCAAAATATAGCTAAAACAAAGAGGGGTTTTTAAAGTAAAAGAAATAACTTAAAAGACAAGTAACAAATGAAGGTTGTTTTCAAGAGGTTAAAGGCGCTAGTCTAGGGTTTCCTAACGGGAAGGGAGTTCCCTAGCCGAGCTACTATTCAAGTTCAATATTCACGAGTCCAAACTCGGATCACTCTGTTTGAATCAACCCACTA